TCTTGGGATATCTTGCGATGATAAAAATGTTCAACCTTGGTTGAAGCCACTCACCATGAAATTGGTCAACCTGTTTGAGCCAACCGACCCTGCAGGATCGGCGGTTCGCGCCGTCGTGGTGGTTAAGACTGACTCATCCGGCGATCAGAATTCGCTTGGTTGATCTTCTTTTGGCCATGCGAATTCTGAACGCCTGAGCTTGGCAATCTGACCATCTCGTGATGTTTTTTGTGTATGCTTCATAGGTCGTAGGGGCTGGAAGAGCCAGGTGACCCTGACATGAAGGTGCTGGTAGAGTTCAAGTGGAGTTCAACCGCTTTCTTTCTTTTCCATGAACAACACCTTCCAGCGCAAATGACCATTGAAGTGAAACCACTTCCTGTTGCGTGTCCTCCTTGCTTCCTGGAGACCCTATCAGATCCTGTAGCAATCCATTGGACACTCCTGGGTCCACGAAGCCGTTTGAGGGAAGGAATTCTCCAAAGGCCACGAACCCTCCAGTCGTACCCGACTCGCTGGCACCGTCTCAGACCGTCTCACAGTGTGTGTTTGCTCACCGAGACATACCTTCCTCCCCTGGTTATCCGGGTGGGTGGATGTCCAGCCCGAACAGAACAGCGCCGAGGCTCTTGGCCCATTTGCCGCATCCCGAAGCGCCAGTGAAGCGAAAGCTCGGACGCCCGAGTCCGGAGCTCGTTGTGCGGTTCGTGGATTTCGAAGTTGGTTGGAATTTGAAAGCCCACTTTGGGGGCTAGAAAACCCTGAACCCCCCCCTAGGCCGGCTTCTCACCCCAATTTGTGAGTTGTAAGGTTGGCTTTTCAACGAACAACCTTGTTGCTAAGGTCGTTGCTCAAGCGGTCATGGAAGACTGATTCGGGTCAATTTTGCGGAGCAGGTGATGATTGTGCAAAAGAATTCTGAACGCAGAGATTGTTGTTCTTTCCCAAACCATCCCTCTATGGAACCATTACAATTAAGACATATTGAAAAAACGCATGTGAGCCCATATGTCCAGTCCATTGAATCATTGAAGATACCCTAGGAAATTCGGACAGGGCCGAGCCCTAAAAGCAGGGGTATACCTGGTATTTTGGTGTGTTGTTCCCCCCAACTCAACTCTTCTGACCTTAGCACCGCCGGGCCCTTCTGACTTCGTGGCGATGGGCCGAGGAAGCGGCGGAACGAGGTGGAAGACGAGGAGCAGATCCAAGTGGCGGGTGAAAGCACCTCCACCAGGTGTGAAGACCGAGGGGTATCTTAGGGGCCCGGACCATCTCGGACCCATAATTTTGGATCTTCTATACCCAGAACGCCAGGAGATGTTTAATTGCAAGGGCTAACGCCCTGGTGCTGCCGACCCCCATTTTTGCAGCCAAAGCAGGTGCGCAGTCGCCGTGGATTTGTTCAGTTTCCCTCCTAAAAGTTGAAACTCACAGCATGCAGAAAGAAAGCTTGCCAAGTCAAGAGCGAACGCAAAACACCAGGGGACAAGCCCCAGGTAGCTGCCACAAGCAGCCTGTGGCCGGCCGCCCATGGACCCACGCCAAAACCTCGGTCGCGCCGCAGCGAAACACCCTGGCCCGAGCTCCAGAGATTTAATCCGCAGGCTCTCTCTACATGCCCAAAGCTATCTTGCTTCTGATGGCCGCTCTGATTCTCGGCAATCTGTGTCGCCACGCCATCTAATTCCACACCAAAAATCACAAAAAAATTGTGCTGACGGGGTGCCTAACAGCAGTTTCGAAACCCAATGAAAAAAACTTATGAATGCCTGCCGCAGAAGGTTTGGGGTGCCTTATGGTAGCTCCAGAGATTCAATCCCCTATCCACGGCTTTACCCAAGGCGAAGGACAGCCGCAGAGGGCTTGAGGCCTTGGACAGGATTCAATGCCAGGGCTCTCGGCTGTGCAGGACACCCGCAGAAGTGGAGCGTGTGCGCAAACGGGCGCCAGACAAAGCCCAGGTAATGGCCACAGGCACCCTGCAGTGTCCCAGGCGCCGCTCTGCGGATTTAAGGCCTGCCCATACCCCGATCCATAGACCCGAATCCTCTGGAGACATTCGGACCCGGTATTCCTCAGGTATTCCGTATTCCGGGTCTGGGGTTTCTCACCAATGTGGGTTTGAGAGACCGGAGATATACCCTACAGGTGAAAGACATCACTTTACATCATTTTACTGGAGTTGATCATGCAAAAACATTACTCAATTGTTGGTTTTCAGGACCAGGTTTTAGTGGGTCACACTGGACCTGTATAGGGATATGATCTTGAAACGGCCTATACCAGCACCACCCACAAACTGGGTGGTTTATAGACCCCTCAAACATCCTCAAACTCGGCATCTTCCTTCCAATAAGAACCGCCAAAGGGGGTGCTGGTAGCCGGTTTGTTTCAGCAAAAAGACACCATAATCCAACAAAAAATCATGGGTTACAAACGCTAGGGATCCAGTCGTACCTTCTCAGAAGGTACGACTGGACCCTCCAAACCTACATTACAGTGTCTCCAATCACCGAACCTGAGAAGGTACCCTAGGGAAACATGTGCTCCAAATCAATGCACGCTTCCAAGTTGTTTCGGCGGAACATCCTGGCTCAAAGCGCAACCACCAATGGAGCCAGGCTGGCACTGAGCACACAAGAAGCACGAGTCTTGGGGCGATTGGGCCAGAAGCTCAGATCCATCCGATCCTTTCGTTTTGACCCTAAAACGGTCATGTAAAATCGGCAAAAACAACTGGTGGTTCGGGATTCAGACTCTTCAATCAATTGTGGTCCAGGAATCCCATGCAGATCCGGAAAGAACATCACAATCATCAACAACTACAACAACAGAATTGCATCGGAATCCGTTGGTTTTGCATGGGTTTCATGCGAAAGGGAGTGGATGGGGCATGTCAGGAGAGATTCCAAGGGCCTAAAGGGTGGTTAATGGAGCCCCTTCACGTCCCATTCGAGCATCCTTCTAGCCTTTCTGGCCCACCATTGAGTTATTGTAAAAGTCTAAGGATTTTACACCTACAAAACCAGGTCAACCACTTTGAACATAGTCTTGGAAGGCTATGGGCACTCATCATCATGGCCCTGCACCCTTTTGCGCCTTCCATGCTTCTGCCCAGGTGAGAATCCTTACCTTCGATGCTTCTTCTTCGTCTCCGTGGCCAAGCGAAGGCCTTCGTGGCCCGCCGTGGCGGCGCAAAACGTTCAGTGCACCGCGCGAGGGTCTTTGCATCCCATTCGGGCTTCAGTCGTTCTCACGAGACCTGTACCTAACCACGCTTTACAATCAACTCCGACGAAGTGTACCGTCACCACGCTGTAAAGTCACCAAGCCCGACTGCAAGTCCCTAACCACACCTGCGGACAGGCCAGAGCTGCTCCCAGTCACGTTTGGGCAACTCCTTACTCCTTAGTAGCAAATCCTTACATATGTTTGCCTTCAGGCATTTCCTTTAAGGAAGTTTCATCAAACTTAGTCCTTTCATGAACCTTGGTCCTTTCAGGTCGTTTTGGTTTGCTGTCATGACATCATCCATTCATTTTCCATCATTTTCCATCCGCTCTCTGCTGTCCTCACTGTGGAGAAGAGTATCCAGCGTCTTTCGCTGCTTTGAATGTCCAATACACTTGGCCGTTTGGGCCGGTGAACTTTGCAAAAGGTGTCCCCGATGTGCTTCTCTTAAACACTTGTTTCCTCCACTCACCATGCATTTCATCCGAGACAATCTCTGCCTTGCCTTTTTTCTTTGGCTTTGTTTCGCTCTTCTTCCCGTTTTCATGGAAGGATGGCTTCTTCAGGACCTGTGGAGGCCGTGTTGGCTTCTTTGGAACCTCTGGAAGGATAGCCGTTTTCTTATCCTCCTTTGGAACCTCTGGAAGGGTAGCCGGCTTCTTTGGAACCTTTGGAACCTTTTTCTCATCCTCCTCCTTGAAGGATAGCCTCTTCCGGACCTGTGAAGGTTCCGGAGGAGCATCTGGAACTTTAGCGGTAGCACTCTGCTCCTTCGCGGCGGGCTTCTTCTTGGGGGTAGTCTTCTTCATAATGCCACCTCACTCATTGATCCAAAGGTCAACCAAAAGAAAGTGGGCTTGGTTGGGCGATCAGGAGGATGGATAGGCAGCAAGGGTTTAACAACATCTATAATCTATAAACAGATCTGACAAGGGACGTCCACGACCACGCTTTGCTTCTCCAAGTCCGCGCCCACGACCACGGCCACGATTCAAGGGCTTGTCGGGTTTTCCGCCTCCAGTAACCTGTGCATCCTCTTGTGACTCTTCAAGAGGGGTCTCGACCAAAAGCTTACTCTCAGTGGACAGCGGATTTCCTTCCCTTGGTTGAGGGGAAGTAACCGATCCCGCGGCCTGCGCTGAGCATGGTTGAGGTGAAGAGCCAGGCGGCGAGTGCAAGGCGAACCCTTTCATGATCTCGTCTTTGACATTGAAATTCAAGTTCAAAGACATTGATGAGGCCGACATTCACGGACAAAAAAATAGACACTAATGATTGAGCCTCAAAACCGGTCTGGACTGGAGGTCTGAGCCGCTACACTCACAATCTCACCTGACAAGAAGGCATGAGTAGGCCCGACTACGAGTCTTGCATGCAGAGCCAATTCTTTTCTGCGCCAAACGCTTCCGCTCTGGAAGCGCACCCTCCGGTTTGCACTGCACTGTGCCACACAACGCTGGAACACCCAACAACTAAATTCAATGTATGAATTTAAGGAGTTTAAGACAATGTGTACCTGAGTCTGTCTACCTTGCCTCTTCTGAAAAAAATAGTCATCTCAGCCTTGGCGCAGTGCCCCTGTGCGCAAGCTTGTCGTGAGCGCTCCAAAACTACTGCAAAAGAATGCTGGGGCAAGGTTGCAAAAGGTTCTACAGGAAAAACTGCGCGACCCTAAAATGCTGCGACCCTAGGCTGAAACTAGGCTGAAACACACGTCTTGAATCACAAACCAGCACACACACACAAACATGTGCCCAAGCAACACGTCAGCCAGCTACTTTCACAGGCTTATTGCCAGAAAGCTGCACCGCTGACTTGCAAATGACATATGGCTTCACTGCTTTCAGGCTCATGCCTACCTTCTCATACCGAAAGCGAAAGCAGGTGCCGATGACGGTGCTGGATTCACAAGCCTGAACACACTTGCTGAAAACATTCTTGCAAGTTGTCTTGGCTGAAGCTCTGCTGTCCTCAATGCATTTGAATCGCATGTCCTGGGTGATGGTGAGTTCAAAGGCGTCTGAACCCGCCTCGACAGTATCATCTGTCTTCCGGACTGCGGTCATGTAAGAGAGCTTCACATCTGGTGCACTCTTCTCCCGCTCGATGGTGACGATGAGCTTGTACAAGGACATGGTAAGCACCGAGTTGGTGGGGCATGATTCGCGCAGAGAGGTCTCGTCCAGCTGGACGATTGTCCGGTCTTTCAATGGGAAGGTGTAGGCTGGGCCTGTCCCTGGGTCAGAAATCTTGGAGTATTGGCCTGTCCCAAAGCCGCCAAGCTGAGAGTTCTTGGGAAGATGCTTGTCTTTCTCACAGACAAGCCAGATCTGTCCACTCTTGGTCAAGATGATGCGAACACCTTGGATCTCTGAAGCCACATCAGCTTCAACCTCCTGCTGACTCTTGAGAGCCTCCATGGAATCCAGCTTGTCCAAGGACGGTGTCTCTGATTGCTCCTGACAGGTGGGATGCCAATCAATGTGCCCAAATCATGCCAAGCCTACAGTAACACTTGTCTACTTGCGTTGCTCAACACAGGGAATCACAGACACTAGGAACAAAAACACGAGCAGCTTGACTGACTGCAATCCTCAGCAGGTGCAGAGCCACCATCGTGAGACTCACCAGTGGCTTGCTGTCCTGACAGCTTTCCAAGCAGTTGGCTGTGCTGGCTCTTCAATGCCTGGAAACTCTGGGTGATCTCTCCCCCCTGCGCTTCCCAGTAGCGGGACTCATCTTCCTTGATGTGCCATTGATCTCCACGCCGTTCCAAGACCTCCCACTTCATGGCATCGAGTGATGTCGTGGCCGCAAGGGCCCCAGGGATGCTTTCTATGTCCTTCTGCGCCAAAGGTGGCGGCGTTGTGAGAAATTTTTGGCTTGGGCCGACTTCCAAGGTCCCCTTCATCCATGCATTGAGCACCTCGCGCACCAGGCGGCTCTGGCCGAAGGAGAAAGTGTCCTTGCCGATCCACGACACAGACAAGTAGTGCATATTCTCAGCACTCCATCCACCAAACGAAGCCTTGTGTAGCCGGTGCTGCAGAACCTAAGATCCAGCAAGGCCGAGGCCAACAAAAAAGACTTGCCCAAAACAAAAGCACACCCTTCAGAATCTTCTTTTGCCGCACATCAAGAACCCCTGCAGCAACTAACAATGGAACCAAACCAAGCACTGCACCTTATGAGCAATGCATAAACCCGCTACCCTCCAATTCGTTTATTTTGGGCTGCATTGGCCCCAACCACATACAGAAAGTATGGTGGGGGGTTTCTTGGACGACCTGACTTGTGTCTCATGCCTTCCCCACCACCTAAAGTATTGCGGCACTGCACTGGCGCAAGCCGCTGGAAGTAGTCAATTAATGATGCTTCCAGCATCTCAATCTGCGCAAGTGAATTGCTAGCATGCAGGCAGCACATCTCAGAGAAGTTACTTTCATAATAGTACTTCACCCGGATCTCCAAACACTGAGATATACCAATCTTGAACACGGCCAATTGCTCACCTCCAAACTTCAGCCTGATGTGTTGAATGCGCTCCTTCAAGTTTACACAACAAGTGTGCCCTATTGCTTTGAATTATTGAATGTGTTGCTGTATTGTTTTTAAATGTGGTGTCGGTTGGTTTCTTCCTTTACCAAGGCCGTCCTTGCAGTGTTTGAGAATCTTGTTGGCCACAGTAGAGGGGGGAAGCACTGCCACAGACACGCCCATAGACAGCGGTCCAACTTCCCAGCCAGCATCCAGTGGTGAACAAGGACTCAGCTCTGCATGCGCGATGGCAGCAGTAGCACCCGGAGGTGCTAGTGACGTAGGACACTGGAGGAGAGAACAATGGAGGTTTTGCGCTGTAGGTTGGACATCGAGGGCATCTTCATCATCTTCATCATCCCACAACATGATGTGTCTAGCCTTTTTGAAGAAGGCATCAGGACCACAGAGCATGGCTTGGCAACAGCAAGGCGACAGGACAGAACCCAAAAAAAGAGCCCATCTGCAGCAGTGCGCCATGACGCAAAGACCCTACAAGACCCTAAAGGACAATCAAGCCAAGGAACCGCAATCCCACATTCTTCGATGTAGCCAGTCAAATTCAGGATAAGGACTGGTGCCTGTCCCAACCCTTGGCCACTGACGTTGCAGATTGAGGCAATGAGGGCAGCGCACTTGTCAGCCCCCTTCTGAGCGGTGATGGTTTCTGGTGAAGGACGCTGCCTCTCACTGGTCCTCAAATCTTCATTTGGGTTCAGGCTCTCTGGAAGGACGAGGTCTTTTGAGAGAGGAAGATAGACCTTTGAATCTCCCAAGGGCCTCCCCGCCACAGCAAGCTCAGCACTGTTGATGAAGACATTCTCAGCCTCCGCATCATGATTGCAAACCAAGCGACCAGAGCAATATCTCCTCCGCAGCAAAAGATGAATTGCGCCAAATGCAAAGGGTTGAAGATAATGACATGAATTTCACAATATTGTATACCTTCAATTTCTAAGCAATTCCATTTGGATGAACTTCAGAACGCACACAGACAAAGGTTGGCAAGTCTCCTTCTAGCACTGTGACCATCAGCCTGGGCTTGGATATCCAATGGCATAAACCACCTGCAATCGCAATGCTGCCTCAAGCCCCAGAGCGTGTTTTGGACTTCAGCTTCCTCGTCCGCGAGGCCTCTCTTCGAGGTTTTCTTGGGCATGTCAGGGAGCTCTACCAATGCCACGGTGCGTGTCGGGCTAATGTCGTTGATGAAAGACACTGCGGTCATTATCTCATCCATCCTCTCCTTGGAATTGGAGTAAGGCACGTTCAAGTCCACCAATGTGATCGTGTAGATGTCACTGGGTTTGATTCCATGAGCACTCGCCTGGTTGGCTGGTATTGTGGTCAGGTGGAGGATGCAGGATGGATACGCTAGAGACTGATCAAACAACTTGGGGGTGGATAAAGGAGTGGAGAAAGGATTATATTTTCAATGGAAAGGTTTGCCCGTTTGTGGCAAAGTACGATAAACTCCCGGTGCTGATGCACATGCTCGTGCAGATGCTCCATCTTCTTGATCTGGATGGTCTTGAGGAACTTCTCGCAGTACGCCAAGACCAACTTCTCGCCCACTTTCGCTTGCTCTGCTCTCCAGGCCATCTCCCGGCGGTGACGGAGAGAATCCAGCTTGGCTGGGGCTTCAATCACCAACTTCAATTGGCGTTGGTCCCGATCCAGCGCTTGCTGAAAATAGTTCCATCGTGCCGACCGCACTTCCAGCCGCTGCCCGTCTGCCTCTACACTTGCAATTTCCTCGCAAGCTCGCGTCTCCTTTGCTGCAGCGTCACGTGCTGATGGCAGCATAGACAGGCTGAAGGCCTTTGGCCTTTGTTCCAAGATGTCACTGAACTGGCCATCAAGCACACTGCTGGTCATGAGCTTGCGCTCGAACTCATCGAAGTCTTGAAGTCTGCTGGACAGAAAGCTTCTGACCTGGCTCCAGAAAGCCATCAAGTCCCGAAGTTGAAGAAGGTCCTCAGCCTTTGCTCGGTAACGCTTTTTCTCCTTGATGTCATCGACGATCGCCGTCGCCTTTTGGAATGCCAGGTGGACCCTGGAGAGAAGCCATGCTTGAGAGTTTCCATCCAAGGGCAGGGCCCAGTCTATGCTGATGTTGGCTTCGCCGGACAGAGGGGCCAATGAGGCCTGAGGATTGGCGACCGTCTCCTCAGCCTGGCTTCCGAGAAACATCTGCGGCGTCAAGGAGAAGGCCTCTCCATACGGCCCATACTGGAATGGGTAGTCCAGCAGGGTCTTGTGAACTACTGCATGTGCTTGTTGACTGGATTTCTCCATCCAGTGCTTGATGCCCCAAACCTTCTTGGAGTCAATGGCCAGGGTTCCGGATCCTCCGTGTTCCTTGGCAATCTCAGCTTTGTCCAAAGAAAACATGATTGTTGAATGGCGACGTCGTGGTGAAGAGAAAATGAGATGGGTTGACGATTGATGTGTTTTTCCTGATGCTCCATATGTCTACTTCTGCCTTTGCACATCGAATCCATCTCTCCACAACTCCCTCTTTGCTCATTTCAGTTGTGTCGTCGTTGTTTTTTTTCCTGTTATATAACATATCACCAGCCTCAATGTTCCCCTTAATCCAGATCTAAAAAGACTCGCGACTCTCTCCATATATTATGATGTGGCGTTTGAGTGTAACCTGAAACCAGGTGATTAATTCAGAATTTAGACAAAGTGGCCGCGGCATGAACTTCAGGAGAAGCGTTGTATATAGCAATAGCATCTGAAACACCAAACTCCTGCATGTCATTAGCAGATTGAAGTGATCCCAATATGTTTGCCCACTCAAAGCTGCTGATGGGGAGCTTCTTCGCATCAACATTCTGCTTTATGATCCTTTGAATCATTCCATGTGCAGGATTGATCGGTTGCTGCTTGCGAAAGGTCATCAGCTTCAGCAGGCTTGAGGTCAGCGCAACAACACCAGGCTTTCTCAGCTCTGCCTCGGGCTCCTTCACAAAGACAAATGCTAAACCCACCCAAACCAGGGCAGCAGCAAGACATTTCATGCCACCATCATCGATCTTCAGCACCCCAAACTGGTCAGCATCCTCACTAATGTCAATGTCGTCAGTGAGCCGTAGGGCTAGTGTCTCGCCCTGACCAGGCCAATGTTACCCTTGAAATGACACAGACTTTACCCTTTGCGTTCCATTCCACCAAATTCTGAACATGGAACCTTGGAGGAAGAAGCAAAACACATGGTTTCTCGGAAATGTTTATTCTCAGTAATATGTAATAGTATATGTTATCCATATACAGTATATTATATATATATAGTAATTAGTAGCACAGTAATAGCAATAGTCTTAGTATTGATGTCTTGGTGGTGGGTCTGATTGATATCCATTGTGGAAAAGATCCTAAATGAAAGGCAAACATTCGCTCCATGATCCCAAGTCAAAAGGGGGTCAATCATTCGACTCATTGTCATCATGTTCCTTACCCCAAAAGGATGCTATGCACCTCATGACATGCTGTGTCTTTCATGTTCTCCTCAAAAAGACTGCACGGTACCCTTCTTGCTTAGCGTTTTAGCCAAGGTCTTAACCTTATTGGCAACATAAGGAGTGCTCCCCTCGAAATGCCTAGTTATAGTCATAGTTATTGTAAAACACCCAGATAGTAACAAAAGATGAGAAAACAGGGTGTGTTGCACTGGTCTGAAGCTTCTCTTCCCTATAGAAGTTGTGGCCAAGTTGGATCCCTATTTCATGTTTGGGTTATGGCGAGGGATTTCTTTTGATTTATGGCGAGCTATTCCGGTTTAAGTTATGGCGAGGGATTTGGATTTGGGTTATGGCGAGGGATTCCCCTTTGGATCTAATTTGTGTCTCTGTTGGTTTGGCCATGATAGTTATTATTGTGACTGTGGTGATGCTCCATTGAGATTCCACGGTTACGGCGAGCGATTCCGTTCCCAAGACAACAAGACTTACGGCGAGCTCTTCCTAGAAGAGCTCTCCATAACCTTGGGGTCGTGTTTGATCTGGGCCTTTGTCCGTCTAGATTTGCTATTCTTCTCGGAAAGCCAATCCCTAGCCAAAACAGACTTCTGGGTGAGCTCCGATTACGGCGAGTTCTTCCTAGAAGAGCTCTCCATAGCTCTTTCCTTGATGCTAGCCGCAATATTTTGTGTGGAATGGGGAATAACAATTTAAGGTGTAGAAAAAAAATTCTTTGTATTCTCCTTAAACTAGCTATGGCTAGCTCTTCCTAGAAGAGGTCTCCATTCTGGCTGCTGAAGATAGGTATGATAATGGCTAGCTATTGGCAGGATGCAGTCCCAGGATTGTGTTCTTTGGTTTGTGCCAGGGTCACCAACCTCCTTAAAGCCTGTGAGGGAGATGCTCTTGGCGATGTCCAGGACTATGGCCATGGTTGGGGGCCGCCAAAAAGAATCATCATCCAAGCTCCAGTGAAGGATAGTCGTGGCGGTGAAGGATCCCTCCGATGGTGGCCACTCCTGGAAAACAAAAGGCGCCACAAATCAACAGCAATGCATCCGTTACCCATCAAATGATCAACCGTCATCATTCATCATCCTGGGAAACCTGTTTAGAAAATGTGTTTAGAACTTGTGATATAGAGTTGTCAACAGCCACATTCAATCGTTTCTTTCCCCGCTCCTGCAAACAGTATTTCTTTTGGAAATCGTCCACAGTAGAACCCGGAGCCATCAGGCCAACCTTTTCCACCAAGGTCACACTTGCCTGGAGCAATTCCTTCTTGTCATCCCAACACCGGCGACAAATATCCAAGAAGCTGCCCCCATCATCCAAAGGAAAGGGATGCTTCTCTCCACCTCCATGCCTTAGCTCGTAGGCCTTCACCACCCAGTCCCTCAGCTGCCGTTGCACATCAGTGACTTCATCCATGGTCCTGGGAATGAAGGAATCCTGCTTCACATTGTTGGTCCGCTGCCGTTTCTTCGGAGCCATGTCAAGAAGATCGAGTTTGTCAAACTCGAGACGGTGAGATCTCCGGAGCATGAACCAAGAGTGACTACAGGGAACGCAGTACAATACAAACATGGATTGGTAGTAATTCAGGTTGCGCAACCCTTGCCAGAGCCGAGGCAAATCTGTGAACTAGCACTCACAAAACAAGACCATTTTCCCAGTGCTAAAAAGTGCCACTCTGGAACTGCCAGTAGTACGCCCACAATGTGCAATCACACGCAGGCAAAGGCTGGCTGAAATTACAGTCACCGAGCTACTCTGAAAACAAATATCTTGTCTCACAATTCTAAATTGACCAAGCTAATGGAGGAGCCCAGTCCTTCCGCCTAGCACCCAATCCTTCATCCTAGTCCTCGTCAGGAACGGTCCAGTTTGCAAGTGCCCCAATCACGCAGGCCAGGACGACTGGCACGCTGAACCTGGGCCAAGCCACAGCAATGAGTGCAGCAATCAGCATCTCTTTTGTATGACCGATATGAGATGAGCCCCATCATATCATCATCATCATCATGATTGTATTCCTAAATGTCTTGAGTCCCTGCCCCGTGAAAATTGGCCAAGGCACGCATTCCCCAGGAAGTCCTTCACAGACCCATCTGCGAACTGACACAGCCCAAAATCAAGCCAGTCATCTGCACCCAGCCCCTGCAATGCTGCCAACTCCTGCGTAGGAACACCAACAACATCTTTTGATACCACCCCGCATCACCCCGCCACTGGCTGAATTCCCCATGGTTTCCTGCACCAAGGCCCCAAAAGCTTTCTAGTCCGAATGCAAAAACAATGCACACAGCATGCATGCATGCCTGTCCTGTGGAATCACCTGGCGGAACTTGGCCGGGCCGCTGATCACGTACTTCCCCTTCGGGATAACAGTCGTGGAGATTTGGGTGTTCGACTTGCAAAAGGTTTGCCGAGAAAAGTTCTGATCCTGGGCTCGCTGCATGTCCGCTAGCGCGTGAAAATACAAGCATGAGATGTGCTGCAGACATGCGCTCTTAGATATACTTGCTTGGAGAATTGGAGTTTCACTTCACCCCAACTCTTTCTTTAACCTGCAAATTCAATGCGCTCAACAACTAAGTTAAATTCCACCTGAATGCACACGGGCTTGGCCAAGGCATTCACACCAGCAATCTGCAGTCGACGAAGGGCAGTAGAAAGGATTGCGAGCTCACGGTCTGAACATGCAAGGTTGAGCTGCTGGACAATCCGCAAGTACTTCTGCACCGCTTCCTCTTCAATTTTAAACCAATGAACCATGTCATCAAGTTTTGTCCAACCTAAGCAGAGTGAATTCAACCCTGAACTTTCTCAAACTATCCCTGTCCTTGCCACCGAGCAGTTCGCACTCTTTGTCGAAATCAGTATGCCACTTGAGATCAGTGGCATTCCGTGTGTTTGCGGGCTTGGGTCGACGCGCAGGGCAAGGGAGATCCTTGTTGACAGCAATGCACGATGACAGCGGCAAGGCTGCACACTTGAAGCGGTCCGCATCCCTGATGGCCTGCTGTGCGTCGCAGTTCAATCCTGCAATGATCCATGCACGGTTCCTGCTCTGAGGAGGTCCGAAGCTGGCAGTGTTGAAGCATGCATAACTCACATTGTAGCCCATCTTGGTGAGATCGCATTCAATGATATCAATCCTGGGCTAGGTTTCCAGTTAGTACAACATTTCAATCACGCTTACTACAACAACATGACAACAAGCTACCAACAAACAAACAAAGCTTTATTCTGTATCAAGAGAGGTTCGGTCTCTTGCCACCCTCTGCACCCCGATGAACAAACACCGTGGCAACATTCTCAAGCAATACTAGGCACGGCCGGTGCCTTTGGATGTACTTTTTCACTGACTGGTATCCATTTCCCGATGTGCAGCCCGTGTCCTTGATAGAGCCTGGTGTAGATGTCAGGTTGCTCAGGGACTTGCAAGGAAAGCCGGCTGTCAACAGGTCGACCTGTCGGGAAATTATCCTTAAGGACTCAAGACCAATGCCGAGAAAGTAGCACTATCACTCCCACTGCCACAATCCTCTACAGTCCAACAACAAACCCTTTCTGAAGACCAGGGCCTTGGGAACCTCCTCTTTGAATCCAGCATGGGTCATGGCCTTGTCCTTACCCATCTCTGCCATGTCACAAAAGAGATGCTCACAGTCCTTGAACTGCCTGGAAAGGTACTCGCGCTTCTTGCAATCAAACTCAACCATGAAGGTCGACTCGAACTGCAGGGCTGATGTTTGAGGAAGATGCTAAAAAAGTGCTTTCTTGAAAACCTGTATAGTATACATTCATTATAATCATTTGTATATATTTTCATGTTCAATATACTGTTCATTACTGCTCATTGCTTTGCACGCCTGAATGGATGGCCACACACTCTGCAAACGGGATAGCACCATCTCTAGGGTACCCATACCAGTGCAAATGGTCCCAACCTTGATGATACCTCCCATTTTCCCCTTCACATCCTCACGGGTAGACTGGCACTTCCGCAGAACGTCATGCAAGGAGACGTCACTGGTCAACTCATGGATGAAGTTGTTGATCTTGGTTGAACAACATGGTGTTGAAGGAAACCAAATTGAAGGTTGACCGCACCCTCAAACAAATAAGTGACACATACAGTATGATGAACCAGCGCCAGACAAAAACACTTGACTTGAGTTTAGGTGCTGATGGTGTTGTTATGTTCAGTGTCCGAAGTGTTGCAACTCCCCCATTGCACTCCGGAAAGCTACCAGCATCATCTTCCTCCGAAGCGTAGTGAACCTCATCCGTGGATGCTCCATCTGTCTTCCTGAGATGCAGTGCAGCGAAGACTGTGGCTATGTGGCTAGATTTGTGGCTGGTTGGGCACAGCTGAGTGCTACAGCTTGAACCAAAACATACCCCATTGAATCACTATCCTCGGCTGAAGCCATTAAACTAGTCTCAGGCTAGACTCTGTTGGTCCTCGATGTCAGACTCCGGCAAGACCTCAGCATCGGAGTTGTCCAAAGCATCTGTCCTGCGGATGCAAGACGCTCGAAGGATTCTAGCCTGAAGAGGACCAGGAAAGGTTGGGACTTCGAGTGGGTGACCAAGTGGGAGAAATATTGTGCATCACTCGATGTGGAAGGTTAATTTAATGAAGAAGCAGAGGGCAAGTCTGAGTGCATTTCAAAATGATCCTACGCTGTCCTACGCTGAAATATTGATTTCTTGGTATGTGTTGTCCAATGCTTCCATAATGGACCCATCATGAAGTCAAAAGGACAACAAACAAAATCACAACACACAAAATGAACAAAACAAATTTGGTTGACCACATATCTCCACTCCAACGTTTTTCACCCATCCAGCGGCAGATCAACAGGCGCATTGTCAGATTCGCTGTCTGATGTGTGCCCACCCTCTTCTCCAATTGTGAGATCAAAATGTCTCAACCTTCGTGGGGGGACCCACGTTCCTGGCATCACAGGTTCTGCTCTGAGTCGAGCATCCCATCGGTAGTTCAAAATGCTGTACACTGCCGGCCTGGGAACTTCCTGCAAAGTCCTGTCGGCCCATCCCAGTAAATACCTAGATGCAGCTTCATTGAGGTCGCCACTCTTCTGGCAGCGAGGCACATACCTGTGAATGTTTTGAACAACTCGATGGCCAATTGCCCTCCTTTCTGTGACGCCAGAGGGCAACTGTGCTCCAGTGCGAAGCTCTGTACACACATCTTCTGAAACCAAGGCGATCAATCTCAAAACTTCAGTGTCTCCCAACCACCGTTTTGCAATCAAGCATATGTCCCCTGGCTTCTTCGCTCTCCCGAAGGGAAAGTCTTCAAATTCAGCCACCCGCTGGAAAACCTCCATCTCGATGTCCTCTCGCCGGACAAACTTGAACAGGTGGACACGTCCTGGAACTGAGAAGTTGAGTGGAAACATGTGGAAACCAATGCAATCAAATTAAACCCTACTTAGACCCTACTATAAGCATGAGGTTGCACATTGCTTTACAACAAAATCAACACATGTTTGCCTTTCATGGTCCAAAATGCTTCTTGAGAGAGATGTGTTTGTGTGTGTGTCTCTCTGCGTGTGTTTTGGCCAGCTTGGCTCCAAGTCTCGCATGCCTTTCAGCACGATTCCCAGTTGCCGAACCCAAGCCTTCCACTTAGCTGCTTGGTCTAGCTTGAATGCACAAGCAGAAGTACCGCGAAGACGTGTTGAAGAGTCTGCTTGGTTTGCCCCAGCACACTGGTTCAGCAGTTTGATGAGCTCCTCGGGCGAGTTAAAGCACTTTCCTCGAAGAAGTCGGCTGATCTGACCAAAGACTTGGTCGACATCTTCGTGGGAGTGGGCTTTTCTCAGAAAGCCCAGTGAGCAATACCGGAATATCCCCAGCGCGACCAGCATGATTCCTAGTGCAGCTACATATCGGTTCTTGCCCTCGCGGGCGCAATTGTCCTGCTGGATATGAAGTCCAGCAGGCAATTGGGCAGGACTGGAGTCGTAGAGCACCTGGAGCCCACGCACGAGCAGCTCGATTTGTGTTTCAGAGTCCTTTTTAAGGCTCTCGTCTGAAATTGGCAGCAAGAGCTTCAGCCCATGCAGCCATACTGCGACCAAGTGTAATGTGGGCCTGTACAAAGGCTCCAGGCCCTTGCACAGACGTTTGTACCCAAAGCGAGGTGTTCTCAGTTTGGATTGGTCCATTCCATCGCATATGATGGTGACCAATGAGTTGTAGATGTTGATATTTGGGCCATGCGCTAAGGCTTCTCGTGAATGGAAGTACGACTGGCTTAAAGCTCGAAGCTTCCAGTAGACCTGGCGGTCTAGCCACTGCGACAAGATGTGTCTTCCATACTGCCGGGAAAACTCCAATCTGTCACTCTTGCATAGAGCCTCTTTGATTTTCCTTTTCAGGCGCCCACA